ACACATTTTTGACCCTTCATCTCTACTTTTGTTTGCTGTTCAATGGATTTATAAGTGCTTTTTCAAATTTTTACATTAAAATATTATTAGAAGCATAGTTTATTTCTTCCAAAAAGTTATCTAGAAGTAAAATGCTGTTCAATTACTTCCAGATCCTAGACTTTTCAAAAAGTAAAAACTTGTAGATTGGTAGGACTTAACAGTAACATGATAAATCACAATGTCAATATTCTTCTTTTCACAAAAGGAGAAAACATAGGCTAAAACAAGTTGATGCAGTCATATTTTTGTAGTTCTTGGAATGTTACTATGCGATTTTTAGTTGATTTAGCAAATGCTGCTGTGTAAAAGAAAAAAATTATTTTCAACTTGCTGAGGTAGCAAGTTTCTTTTTATACCTTCTTTATGCTTGAGGCAGTCAAGTCTAGAGGCAGTTGAAACTAGATTTATAGGTTAGTTACCAAAAAAAAATCACTGCAGACAGAACCTTCAAACTGAAGAGTTTAACAAACTAGAGTACCCAGTCATTTTTAGTTTACAGTATCAACAGAGGCAGCAAGGCAATGTGTAACATTATTTTGAGACAGAAGGTCTACAAAAGCACACTATTTTGATCATTTTAATTTTGCAAATAATATAAATGAAAGAGATATCTACAAATGTTCATTGAAGGAGGAGGAAATACTTCAAAATAAAATATGCCTCCCTGAAAGCCAAGTAAAAAGCAAATGGTTTCTTCTCACTTTCTTCAGCATCTAAAATGTTATTATAGTTCTGATTCTTTCCCAAAAAAAGGTGTATTAAGAATATTTATATTAAAATAATAGTGAAAAGATATTTTATAATGCTAGATAAAAAAATCTTGGACTACACAACCTTAAAAGAACTACCAATATTATTTACAAATATACCTACTCCTAAAGGGGTATGCTCTAGTATGAGGGAACAAAAGTTCTTTTATTCTTCACATAAACTTTTATTACCTAATGATTACCTTATCTTGTAAGAAGGTACAGTCACATTGATGTTTCTGCAAAGGTTAGTGTTGCTGCTGTCGCTGCTACAAAAATGTTGGTTTTTATCTGAAGATTAAGATCTAAACAAGACAAGCACAAGCAACTGGACTGCAGAACAGGAATCTAATTTTCATGGTTTGTTCATGAGTTTTTCTAGGAAGAAGCCAGTGTGTAGTGCAATGTGAAAGTAACACCTCCAATCACTGGGTAAGTCAAAAGCTAAGAATTAGAACTTCCAGCAAAATTGTCATAAATTTGTTACCCTTCTTTCCAGTGGCTACCTCAAGGCAACACTTGGATTAAGATATACTCTTTCAAACAAGAAAGCAATCATCCCTTGATAATACACACAGCTGTGTTTATTTTCTCAACTTCTCCCATCTGGTCTTCTCCAGTACTACTTTTAAGATTCTGATAAACTACAGTTTTCTTAGATGTTTAAAGGTGAAATGAAGGGAGTAAGTACAGTGCAGTGATACAAAAACTGTCAGTACAGTGTCAGCACCAGTAATAACCTCAAAAAAAGTAACCCGTGTTGTGTTCAATCATTCTATCTCTCTTTCCTCCACCCTCTTCACAAAAACAAAACACAAAAACCTAGAGCACTCTGTGGTAAACCTTGGTTATTGGAATAGTAGAGTTTCTCAGAAAATAATTTTTCAAAAATAAAATGACACTATAACACTACTTACAATGTCTTTAGTTCAAACTGCTAAATAAAGCAAAAACATACCATACAGCACCTTACTTTTTCAGATACTCCTAGCTTCAAAAAAAAAAAAAAAATAAGACTAATCAACTAGGTGTAAAAAACACAAGTTTCTTTGATCCTAATACTATGACCTCAAAATAAGTTTATCTATTCCAAATAAAAAAAAGTAAATTTACACAAGATGTTTTAATCTAATTCCCCATCTTTTTTTTTTTTTGGTCTTTTTCCTTTTTATCAGTACCGGGGATTGAACACACGACTGCCTGCTTGCAAGGCAGGCACTTATGCCGCTGAGTTAAATCCCCAGCCCCCTAATTCCCCATCTTATAATGTATTCTTTTTGATCAACAATTTAAATTAAAACCAAAGCTCGCTGAAAATGAGTATTGAATCTTTACTACAAATATTGGGCTCTAGTCTTGTTTCCGCCACTTATAACTGAGCTGAATACTGATATTCCAAGCTGTGGGTCTCCTTGTCTGCACACAAAAGGAATTAAACTATGCAACACTAACTTCAAGAACAACACCTTTCCAAAAGCATAAACACAACTCACTAGGTCTTTTTGACCTGAACTGTATAAGAAAAAAAAAAAAAGCGGATAAACTGTTCTGACCACCTTTACTAGAAATTGACAAGTCCCCCTAAAAAAGTAATAAAGAAAACCAAAACTGCACAGTAATGCTGCCATCTAAACAAATACTGTCAAATGTGTATGAAGTTATTCTGCGGACACAAGCATAGTAAAGTGCCATTTAGTGAGTGCTTTAAACATTACCACTACATCGCAGATGTCGCCAAAACACTTAGGTTCAAGACAGCAAATCTTAATCTTTTGTGGGCTACTGGCCATTAAGGGTAAAACAAATTATAAAGGTAAAACAAATGCTGACCTGGTTATTGTTGAGGTTATATTTTAAAATATTAATTTTTGTAATGGTTAGACATTAAACACTAGTGAAAAAGTAAGTACTCAAACTCAGATGGGTCTTTTGTATGCTGTCAAAAATATTTTCAGAAGCACAAGCTTTTCAGCACTAAATATTTCTTTACTCTTTCATAAATGAACCTGACAGAATAATTTGCTAATACTGCAGGTGTTTTAGCAATTGCTTTTAGGCCCTACAACCACAGTAATTAAGTATATAGAAGACTTGAGTACTACAAAAATTTTAACAAACGTTTAGGGGTGGTGGGGAACGTGCTTTGTTAGAGACAATAACAGAATCCAAACAAAAAAGAGAAAATTCAGGATATCAGAATTGAAATGATCAAAAACCTACTACCTTTCAGTCAACCATACAGAGGCAGCAGAGATTGTTACAAGAAAGAAACATGTTAACTTGCAATCTAAAGTGGCAAATAACATTTCTAGAGATTAACAGTCTAACAAAGCAAGGGAAAACTAACATTCTGTAGTCTTCTTTAGGAAATTCTGGCAGCCAGGGGCTTACCAAGGTCTCATGTTATCAGCCTTTACAGAGACTCTACAATGTATAGTACTCTCCTTAGCATTACAGATAGAAAGAAAAATAAGGTAAGGTTCCCTGACCTTAAAGAGCCTAAGAATCCAAAGAACTCAAATTCAGCATGTGTTTGTAATCCAAATAATACTGTTTGTAAAGGAGATGGGGTGATGCTAGAAATGCAGCAAAAAAACTAATTTTATAAATGAAATCATATTACTAGTTTGAAGACCTAAGGCTCCGCCTAAGAATGAGAGAAATCCAAAATAGATGATCAAAGATTATTCAAAAGTCCTGGGAAGACACTGAAGCAAGAGATTCCTTTGAAAAAAAAGTGAATCTGAATAAGGTGACTTTTAAACTGAAAGACTGGGGATTGAACCCAGTCCTCACACTGCGCTACACCTCCATTCCTTCAATTTGTTTTTCAAACATGTTCTCACTAAATTGCTGCTTTTGCAGTCCTCATGCTCCCAAAGATGTGGTTACAGGTTTGCGCCTTGTTACACTTTGTTGCGCCAAGGGGTGCGGGGGTGCATAAAGATTATTAAAAGCACAAAGTCTGGGACCAAATTCTCTATATTCAACTCTGAATTCCATCATTTTCTAGTCACTTTATTAGGAGAAATTACCACTTAGTTCTCTTAATCTCTACACATGTGAAAGGGAGTGAATAAGTGAAAATAAAACCAGGAGTATCTCCAAAACAGGTATGATTTTTATCGCTGTATTCAACAAAAACTTCATTTTCAAAAATCAAATTCACATCCTCTAGATAGTGGCAATGTGTGGAGTTTATCTTTCTTTCTGGCCTTAATTCCAATTCAACATCCTACTTTCACGAACCATGATCTTGTATCAGTTCTACAAAACAATATGCACTTCACTGTCAAGAAGCCTTGCTCACCACCTCTCAAGCTCTCTGCTCAACTCCATAGTTTACCACACTACTTGTGTTTGGTCTTTCAATGTCTCCCTCTCGCTTCTCATTACGGTAGTAATTTCAGAATTGGGATCATCTTAGTCCTCCTTCCTATTCACCAGCCCAGACAGGGCGGGGGTATGGAAGGTTGGGGAAAACTTTGAATTAAATTGAATGTTTACAACTATAATGGCCTCAGTTCCAAAAACTGCTTAATATTACACCATGTTAGTAGCTTTGGGATCCTAAAATCTTGATACCAAAAGCCTGTAAAAGTCAAGACGACGCTATCCTTTCAAGAAAAGTTCTATGGAGCACCCCCGCGGGCTCCGCGCCTCCAGTTGACCATGCGGTCATCTTAGCTTCCCAAGTTGTATGTACGCTGCGGGGAGGGCAGCTACACATCGGCTGGTGCTGAACTTTGAAATAAGGACAGAGGCGGCGGCTCCGCTCAACTTCCTGCGGCCCAGCCGCGCTCGCCCCTCCGCCTCCACCCCGTCCAGCCGCAGCGCCCCAAGGCCAGGTGCTCCGCACGCGGGGCTCTGGCCTACGCCGGCACCAGGGCGCCCCGCTGTCGGGCCGCCTGCCCGCGGCCCCGGGTCTCGGCCGGGCCCTCCGCTCGCCGCCCGGCCCAGTCCGCGGTAGCCGATGCCGCCTGAGTGGAGTGGGGGACTCGCTGGGCCCCGCGAGGCGCCGGGGGCGGAGCCGGCTCGAGGCCCCAGGAGGTGCCGCGGGCAGGCGGCGGCCTCCGCCCACCCTGAGGCGGAACCCCCGCCACCCCGTCCCAACCCCGACCACCCCATCCCGAGACCCGGCCCGGGACCAGGCCTGGCCCGGCCCTGTCCGGCCCGACCTGGCCTGGCCCGCCGGGACGCACCACTTACCAACCCGCCTGGGACAGCAGCACGCCGGGGCCCTCGGCCATCGCAGCTGCCTCGGCTTCAGGGGACGGAGGCCGGGGTGGGTGGGAGGGAAGCCGCTTACTTAAGATCAAAAACGGAAGAAAAAAGAAAAAAAGAAAAGAAAAGAAAACTCCTGCGGTCGGCCCTACGACTGGGCATGCTCAGTGCGGCGGGCGCTTCCGCGTGCAGGTTCCGCTCGCCGCGTTTTGCGAGCGGCCGCGGGGGCCGGGCCGGGGCCGGGGCGCAGTGGAGTGGAGCGGAGCGGAGCGGAGTGGAGGCCGCGCCGCCCGGAGCGCCTTTTGGTCCGGCTCGCTTGGGATCGCGCGCGTCACTGTTCTTGGTCGCACAGCTCGGAAACCGGCGGAGGCGCTTAGTGCAGCACCAAGTGCAGCCGCGCTTCCGCCGGTCCCCGGGATGGCGCGACAGGCCGCGTCTGTGAAGCGAAACGTGAGGACGGCCGGGCCGGACCCACTCTCAGAGGAGGGAAGCCCGTCGCCAGCCCAAGACTCGCGCCATTCACCTCGCCTGGCGCCCCGCGGGGCCTTGAAAGCGTACAGCTCGGGCTTTGGAGCCCCGCTGAGGGATACCAGTGAGAGTGAATGGGCCACCGAAAAACACCTGCACTTAGAAAACGTGTGGACATCGGGCATTTGGGTCAGCGCGTTTTTCTTTGCCCCTCTGGGAGCGTCCACATCACTGCGCAACCCTGGGACCTGGGCACGGGCCCCACTAGACAAGATGCCCTCAACCCGCCGGCCACTAGGCGGAAAGACCGGAGCGCCGCCTCGTGCGTCCCGAGTGGGCATGCGCGGGGACGCTTGCGGGAGCGCGAAGGACGCTCCGGCACGATTGGGCGGCAGCGCTCACGCCGGCCAATCAGGGAAGCGCAGCCTAAGGGTACGTGGTGCCGCAGTCTGTGTTTAGGGGCCCCAAGAAAAAAGTCTTCTGTCTGTAAGTGGCACTGTCCCAAGCTGACGCGTCTGTGTGACGGACTGCTTAGAACTTGCAGTCCATCGCTGCTGTTCGCCGTGGCTGAAGCCTTCGTCACAAACAGTCTTGGAGCAGAAGCTGCAGAGCAGGCAGAGCCTTTCTTGGAAATAAGTTGGCTGTTAGAGAAGAAAAGGGAAATTATTTTTTTGGTCTTTTTCCTTTTTATCGGTACTGGGGATCGAACCCACGACTGCCTGCTTGCAAGGCAGGCGCTTATGCCGCTGAGCTAAATCCCCAGCCGAAAAGGGAGATTATTAACCGAAATAAAGCTAACATTCTACAACTTAAAGTTTTCTAATTTTAACTGAGGTATTCTCTTGAACCTTTGACATGGTGTACAATCGCAACTTCTTTAGGTTGCCCGATTTGAAATGTGTTTCCTGTTTTCAAAAATCACGCATAATTCGTTGGATGTGGTGGTGCACGACTGTAATGCTAGCACTCGAGAGGTTGAGGCAGGAGGATCACCGTGAGCTCAAGACCAACCTGGGCTACAAATGAGTTCAAGCCTAGCCTGAACTGCATAGTGAGACCCTGTCTCAGAAAGAGATACATACACACACACACACCAGATATAATTCTATCTTTATCCCTGCATTTTACAGGTGTATATATGCTACAAGTATAATTCAGTGGATAGGCACCAATCATTGTATTCAGGAACCAGGAAAACAAATTTAGAAATAAAGAGAAGACTTAAAGTTAGTTTGCTAATATTTGTAGCTAATTAAATAGAATATCCTGATGATTATTTGTATTTTGAAATTAGTATAACTTGTTAACTGTGAAAATGATGTGCCAATTTCTCAAATGAAAAGCCTTTGCACATTTGTTCTCAAGTGCAATTAAATGCAATAAAAACATTACATGGTCTTATAAATTCTATAAAATGCCCATAAAATACTAATTTTCCTTAACTTTTTAAAATTTCCCTAACTTAAAGAACTTTCTACTGGAGAAATTTGACACAATGTGCATCAGAAACATTAATGACAATAATTGACACCACACATTGAATTTTTAATGTCTTGAGTTCAAAATGACATACACACAACCAAGGGAGGGAGATTGAACACACCCTCTCCCACTACTAAAATATAAACCTTTAAAAAATAATAGAAAACTCATAGTTTTTCATTTGTAATTGATTTAGGCAAAGTTCACCAAAGGATACTAAAAACTACTGAGTGAAAAGTTGAAAGAGTATGGGATGCTTACATAGTTTCAAAGAATCAAGCATCAGGTATTACAAAAAGAAAAATGTGCCTTTGGCATTTAAAAAAAAGCCTTTGGCATCAAAGCTAGAATCTGAATAGGACAATCCAATGTCCTGTTCTTACTCATGTAGTACAGTGAGATGTAAACTTCATTTAAGAAATATTTTTGCCAAAATTACTTAACAGCAATCAAACTTCCCAACACTGACTCCCGCCGCAGGCTGGAACCTCAGCTCCCAGCCCGATTAGCAATGTCTGGAGACATTTAGCTTGTCCCAACCTGAAAAGGATAGATGTCAATTGTATCTGATAGAGGTCAGGGAAGCTGCCATACAACCTACAATGCTCAGGACAGTTCTGCAAACCCAACAAAGACTTATTTGGCACAAAATGTCAACAGTGACAAAGTTGAGGAACTTATATCTAGATGGAAACACATTTAAAGGACGTATAGGGCAGACATACCAGAACAAGATGGACATGGCATAAGTCCAGAACATGGCATATTCTATAATGTAACATGGAGTATAGCAATAAATACAAAGGAGAGGAAAGAAAAAAATTTCCATATTTTAAAAAAAAGTAAAATTGGGCATCATAGGTGCTGAATAAGTTATTTGTGAAGTAAATGTACTAAACTAAATATAGTTTTCTTTTGAAAGATGAAAGAAACATGATAATGAAATTCCTGAATCTAAGAATCAAAGGACAATTATTTGTGGCCAATTGCAGAAATTTGAATGTGGACTGGACACTGGGTAATGGAATGGAATTATAGTGTGATAGTGCTATTATCATTAGAAATGATAATAGTTTGTTTTTATTCATGAAAATTTCATACCAAAGCATTATGGATGAGGAAATGTGTCTACAGCTTACTTGCAAATGATCCAAAGGGGGGAATTGTGTATGTATTGTGTATATGTATGAACATGTGTAAAAATATACATTTAATGTATGAATGAGAAGAAAAATATGGCAAAATATTAAGAATGAATCAAGTGCAGATTCTGGTACTCATTTTTCTAAAACTTCTCTAGGTTTGACATGGCTCAAAACAAAAGCTAAAGAAAAATATAGGTTTACTATTTCTCATCAAAAATTTTAAATTGACATACTGTTCTGTGTAGATAAATAGTGCTGTGGAAAATGATAACAGCCAAGTAGATGAAAATGTTTATTTCCATCTTTAATTAAATAAATCATTAATATACAGAAAATACAAAGTGTACAATGATTTGAAATCAAAAGAAATCCTAAGAATAGCAAAAGAGTGTTGTTAGGTTTAAGAAACTGAAGAGGAGGAATTAAATATATTTGGAGTCAGTGGTGTAAGTTAGATTGAACATCTGTTCACATCTGTTTTGCCTGTATCATTTTCTGTTACAGAAAAGTTTCTCAAAATGAAAAGAACAGAAGGATATAAGTTAGTAGGAATCGAAGCTACAATTTAAAAGAACAAGACGATCTGAGGCAACTAAATCTTTGAACCTTAATTCATTTATTTATCTAGAGAATATTACAGTTACCTGTGAATGATACATACACATATACACACACACATTTCCAATAAACTGCAGTAATGGAAATTTTCTACATCTGTACTGTCCAATATGATACCTACTGTTTATTTGTGGATAAATCCTGGACATAGCAGCACAAATATATTTCCTTGTATGCCTGGATGTGCAGATACATACATTTGTATATAGAAGTGAATATATATATTGAGAGCTGCAAAACAAACACAGAGCACTGGTTGATTTTGTGCAAGTAAAGACAAGAAAAATCTGAATATATTTATCAAAGAGAATGTTTTGTTTTATCCTTAAAGCTTATTTCTTTAAAACATTAAAGCCCTATGATAATAGTTCTTATTGCGAATATGGATGTTTTATATCATTATTTTTTGTGCTGTATTTCAGAAAAGCAAGTTGCAACATTTGTATTATATTGTATTATACACTTTTATAATACCGTACCATATTTTCTACAATATATCCTGTTACATTGCTAATATAATCACTATAACAAAAGAGAAAGAAAAAATAAAGTGACAGGAAAAGTACTATAATAGTACTTTCATAAATTTGAGACTCATGTGGAAGGAAATTTCAACTTGTACTTGTCAGTGTCAGTGTAGTCGTAGAACTAAGGCAGAGAGGAAGTCCATTTGTATAATAATGAATGTTACTCTTGGAACAGTCCAACAAGTAAACAGGCAGTCAGTCTTAGAACTGAATGAGTTCAGAGTTGAAGGTATTCAGGCACCAGTTAGAGGTTCAATTGGCATGAACATGATAAAAAGGAATCCAAATGGTTAAACCAGTTCAGTGGCTTTCAAAGGGATTTTTTAAGAGTTCCAGGGGCTCCAGTACAAGGGACCTCCAGGAGGGCAGTAGAGGCAAGGAGAAAGGTCAGCAAGCTGCCTTCTGGCCTCCTAAGTGCCACTCAGAGTAGTCCAGGACTTTTTTTTATTCGCTGCATTTTTATGAAAGCACTTTGACGTACAATTCTACGAAAAAATATTAAGAATAGGAGGCTAGATGAACGAACCAGTCCTTCATCCTGCAGAGATTTATTGAGCCAACACTGTAAGGTAGTCCTGGGCCCTGCCACTTCAGAGTGGTAAGACCAGCAATCATGATCTCTCAGGACAAAAATATTAAAATATTTTATGCACAGTTTGTTGATTGCAATTGCAGTAAATGCTAAGAGATCCAATTAAACTTGGGATTGTATCATAGTGTTAATTCATGTTTTCCTTACTAAAATGACAAATTTTTCACTACCTTGATTTTTTGCCATGTATTTTATGCATGTCCTTCAAGGAGTCTATTGTCTTTTTTTTTTTTTTTTTTAATAGGATCTCATTATGTAGTTTAGACTTGCCCTGCACTCACTGTATAGCTCAGGCTGGTCTCAGACTTGCTGCTTCATCCTCCCAGGTGCTGGTATTAC